TCATCCATATCTATACTACTCTCATCATCACCCCATTCCAAGTCCATCAGTAGTTGTTCCTCATAACTTGCATCCCAATCCCATTGTTTCTCCTCCTCAAAGATCACATCCCTACTTATTACAACCCTTTTAGTGAGAGGGTTATAAAGTCTGTAGGCCTTGGACTCTTCACTGACTCCTAGCAACACACAACTGAAACTTTTATTCTCCAACTTGGTTCTTCTTACATCTGGCACATGGACATGTGCCACACAACCAAATACCCTAAAGTGCGCAACTAAGGGCTTCATTCCACTCCAAGCCTCTTCTGGAGTTACATTTTTGACAACCAGGGTTGGACACCTATTCAACACATATACAGTCCAGTTCACTGCTTCAGGCCAGAAGGTTTTGGGAATCTTCTTTTCTGAAAGCATGGACCGGACCATATTCATCACAGTCCTGTTCTTCCTCTCGACTACTCCATTTTGTTGAGGAGTGTAGGTTGCGGTTAATTGTCTCTTGATTCCATTCTGCTTACAGAAGTTATTAAATTCCTCTGAGTTGAATTCTCCTCCTCGATCAGTGCGCAAGCATTTGATAAACAAACCAGTTTCTTTCTCAACAAGATTTTTAAAACATTTAACGGAATTGAAAGCTTCTGACTTCTCTGTTAGAAAGTAGACCCATGCTTTCCTACTGTAGTCATCAATGAAGCATAAGGAATACCTTTTTTTGTTGTTGGAAGTAGGAGTGATTGGGCCACATATATCTGCATGAATGAGTTGTAATCTCTGTGATGCTCTCCATGTACTCTTCTTTGGGATGGGATCACGATGCTACTTTCCAACCATGCAGTCTGTGCACATCACGGTTGAAGCAGGAAGTGGTGGCAAACCACGCACCATTTTCTTAGATTGCAAGGTTCTCAATCCTTTGTGGCTGAGATGACCATACCTGCAGTGCCAGAGATGGGAGAGGTCCTCTGAAGTTGTATGGAAACAGGAAGCTTTCTTTGCTTGTGACTTAGCTAACAAAACAAACATCCTGTTGGTTGTCATGTTAGTTTGAATGATCAAACCTCTCTCTGGATGATAGATTTTACAAGTTCCTGTTTGGATTAGGATGGCTAGTCCTTTTTCCTGTAGCTGTCCTATACTTAAGAGGTTGTTCTTCAAGTCTGGTACATAAAATACCTCTGTGACCACATGATTAAATCTATTCAAATGCAACCTCACATTTCCTTTTCCAAGCACATTCATCCTGGTATTGTTTCCCAGCTTCACCAATTGTCTAAAGCTTTCATCCAGCTCACTAAACACAGCTTTATCTCCACTCATGTGATTAGAACACCCTGAGTCCAAGAACCATGCATCCTCTCGGTTGGCTTCATTCATCTCTACATACAACATTAAAATCATTTCTTCTTGCTCGTCTAACTCTGCATAATTGGCCTCTTTATCCCAAGTTGGACATTCATATTGGAAATGGCCAAGCTTATGGCATTTGTAGCATTCAACTGTAGCTTTGTTAATGACTTGGCGCCCTCTGCCTCTACCTCTTCCTCTAAAAGTGTTTCTACCATGCCCTCTTCCTTCAAACCTTTCTTCAGAAGTCACCTTTAAGGCTTGTTCTTCTCCACTGCTTCTGTGGAATTTCTGTTCATGCACTATCAATGAACTTTGCAATTCATCGATTGAGAGTTCATCTATATCCTTAGATTCCTCAATTGAACAAACTATGTAATTGAATTTGTCAGTTAAGGATCTAAGGATCTTTTTCACAATTGTCACATCCTTCATTTGCTCCCCAAATGTGACGTCTTGTAAAGTTCGGTAAGTATTCAAACAATTAACTCTCTAACCCGATGAGTGATGGAGTGCAAGTTTACAAAGTTCAGTGAGTAATTGGGTGCAAAGTAAAGTTCAGTAAGTGAAACGTGACGCCCTTTAAAGTTCAGTGAGTATTCAAACAATTAACTCTAAAGTTCAATGAGTAAATGAGTGCAAAGTAAAGTTCAGTGAGTAAAATGTGACGTCCTTTAAAGTTCAATGAGTATTCAAACAATTAACTCTTATTTAAATAGAGACTTGTCAGGTCTCGATTATCTAGAATACTGTAACTCTTTTTTTCTTTCTTGGATAGGAGAAATCGGTGGGACTAAAACTTGCTAAAGCCATCATAAGCGGCGAAGTCAAGAGAGAGTGTGGAGTTCGTGATATATTTGAGGGCAACATTTATGGCGTCATCCGACGAGCTGTCATCATTGGTAATGGATTTTCGACTTCCAAAAACTAGAGCATCGACTTTGCACCCGTCCTAGGCCTGACAGAAAAACTAATTCTTTATGTATTCTTTTTCTCGTGGGGTTTGTTCAATAATTAGTGAAAAAATTGTGAAATTTTGAATTGAACTTATGATGTATTGTTTTTAAGGGTTCTTTTAATGTTTTATTTATATGTTTTGGAGTTTTGTTATAATGCAGTGGAGAGTTAGGAAATATTGAATTGAATTTATGATGCAATGGATTTATGGATTATTTTATTTTACTAATTCAGTTGGAGTGTTTTTGAGATGATATTCATGAATTTTTTGTTTAGGCTTTTGATATTATGTTTTGCAATTAAAAAGTTCATTGAAATCTTCAATGTTGAGGTACAGTACGCACCGTTTGGCTGGGTGCAAGTTTTTTTCTTTCTTTCCTTTTTTTTTCCCCTTCTATTTCTTGATGTTGTTGGTTTTGTTTTTGGGTTCATTACTTGGAAAATGATTTTTGATTTTCTATTCATTTTGAGTTCATTTAAGTTTGGAGCGGATAAAAGAATCTTTGTGTTTTCTCTTGTTCTGATAATGGGTTTATTTAAATCAAATGCATCACTTTTCTATCTCACCAAGTAATTTAAGAATGTTGCTTTTTCCTTTTTATCTAATTATCCTTGAAGTCAATTGTCACCTCTCATTGCCCATTGTATTCACAATACTGATTGTCCATAAATAATGATAATCAATTTAAAGTCAATTTATATAATATGTAGATGAGGGAGATCTTGAAGGCATTAGCATGTAAAGAGTGGTGGCTATGTTGTATGCTAATTGTTGGATTAGAGATGATGTGTGAAATCATCTTGTGATTTCTCAACAGATCAATTGATCTAACTGTTGAAGATGAATGAGTTTGCAACATGCCTATTGCTTTGAATCAAGGTCTAGAATGGCATTTCGTTTGTAGTTGCTTGATTGGTCATATGAAGATTTGACATATGCCAAGCTGCCTAGCTAAGTTCACTTTTCCCCTATCAAACGCTCATGTTCCTCATGTCTGAATGATCTATCCACCTAGAAGTTACATGCTAATATGTCAGGTTGTGAAACTCGAACTAGATTTGTGGCCTCAATTTAGTCATGTAATTATTATATTTAATTTTCTTTATTTTGATATTAATGTTCTTGTGATTGAAATAAAAATGGTCAAGGGATGTTATACAAAT